TTCTGGAAATTTCAATACTCACTGTTTCTTAAGAGATTCTTAATTATATCATGAATGATGTTATGAAATGTTCGTGAGATTCAAGAGATTCGCTTCCTTTCTGACGCTGTATTAAGACGTGGAAAGTATATGTTTATCACTTGTGTCTCAATTTCTAGGCCATCAGTGCAATTATGTTCTTGGATTTTTTCCAAATTTCGTTGTTCTCAGTTTTATCACGATTTAATAGTTTCTTAATTTTTTTGCTTCGAGTACTGAAGTTTCTTAATTTTTTCTGACTGCCCAGCAGGGCATTTTTTAACATATAAAGTGATGGGGAAATTCCCCACCGGCCCCTTTCATTGCCCCACCAGTTGAACATGTTTGCCCCACCACTTAAATGCCCTTATGATTCGGTGGCGTTTTTACTTTTTACTTTATTTGAGATATTTGTGGATGAAATCTTCATTGAACAGGTTTCAAATCTCAATTCATTTTTCCCTGGAACTGCTGCTTCTATAGGCGATTCCCCTAGAATATTTTTGAAAGCCTGTTTATCTGTAAATTCTGCCTTTATCTATATGCCCTTTTCTCAAATGCCCCACCAGTGGAAAATTCTTAAAAAATGCCCTGCTGTCCAGTACTCGTTTCTTATAGCCAGTTTCTTGTAAAAAAAATGAGTGTATACCCTATATGTCTCTCTTGAATGATAGTGCATTTTCCTTTGGCCAATAGGGAAAGTGCACCATTCGAATATCCCTTAATAGTAAAATCTGCTGTACATATGATAGAGGATAACAGATATCTTTTGGACAATCTGACGTCTATTTCTAAAAATGACAGTTTGAACTGAGAGGCAAACTAAAGTGGACTCATTTAAACGTTTTTGCACGTTTGGCGAAGAAATATTCCCGATCAAAGGAAACACCTGGAATTGGACTTTTGTATCAAATCATCGGTTATGAGAAAGGAAGTCCCATAGACAAAATAAATGGTCGTAAGTAAGTATCTAAACTTTTTGTAGTAAGTAAACTTTTTGATTTGAACAAGAATTTAGGTAAAAGCAGCTTTGTTTTGGTGTAAAATGGAAGGGTTGAAAATTGGGAAACATTTGTTTACGTTCAGGGGCTTGGGAAGAGTGAAACTATAATGTACCCTCATCACACCTCTTATGAATGATTTGTGCTCGTACCTGTAGCAGGAACAATACACTTATTAGATTAGCAGGAGCTAATGTCACTCTTACTTTTTTCATAGATATCCTACAAACTTTCAAAATCTTTTAAATTACTGTTTGATGAGAATGAAGTCATATATTTTGTTAAATTTATTAAGATCGTGAGTTTAATGGAAAATGATCTTGTCTTTTAGGCCGGAGAAATTGCTAGTCCGTAAAATCTTGGGAGAGAGTGTCGTGCTAACTGAAATATGGGCTTTGGGCTTTAATCAAACTTTCAGCTTCTACATATCTCCCGAGAGCATTACATCATTTGATACCTAAGACTTTTGTCACCCGTGTAGACGTTTCAATGACTCCCCCCCCTCCCCGGGATGCTAGACCCATGAATATTTATATTGTAAAGTGAATAGGCCTTTCTGTCATACACTAGTGTCTCTAATAGAAGAGGGAGGTAATAGAAGGGGGTGTTCATGTCGACCAGTTTTCAATAGAAGGAGGGGCTAATAGAAGGGGGTGCTCATGTCGGCCAGTTTTCAATAGAAGGGGGTTGCTAATAGAAATGGGGTGTTCAAGTTGGCCAATTTTCAATTAAATGTCAGCAATTTTCAAGAGCTAATAGAAGGAGTTGATGTTGGCAAATCTTTTAATTGAAAGGCAGTGGAATTAGTAGGATGGCGACACTGGCTACTTGATAATGGATAGATGGTTAGAGATAAAGATAGACAAACGTAACAAGGAGAATTATGACAATTAAAAAATAACTACATAACATAACAAGCGATATTATTGACAAGTGAAAATTGCGTGTTCTGGTCATGATATTTGTAAAATTTTATAGAAGGGGGTGTGCTAATAAGCGACGGGGGGAGGGCAAATTCTTCTGAAATTGATACACGGGGGGGGGGGCCGTCTATTAGGGACACTAGAGTAGATGGGCAAACGTGCCTCCGTAAAACGGTATAATAATGCTTAGTAACTCAGAATGTAACCTTCAGTAGCAAACCAATCTACTGCGAGCATTAAAAATGTGGTAAATGGGGAAAACATAAAGGGTCACTTTAAAAAAAGTTTAATGGGGCATTTTGTAATCTGTTATTAGCGAAAACCTACTCTAGAGACTTTTCACCATGTCCTTTGGTTGAGCTTTTGGAGATATTTGCATATGTTTTTAATTTGCTGTGAACCTGTTCTAGACATTTTCATCCCGAATTTCGAATTTTTTTGGATCCAAAATTTTTTCTCACCAAAATTTTCAAATGCTAGACAAATCTTTTTCTACACCGATGGATTTTCAAATTAAAAAAAATTATTTCCTTGATATTGTTTGAGTAATACTATACATCCAATAAATTTAAATTTCCAGTTTTTTGTTCTCCATCGTCAGCAAAAAATAAGATATCTAGTTGATCTTCACTTTCCTCTCTTTGCCCTCTACATCCAAGAAATTTGAGTTTTCTTTGCGCTGAACTGATGCTTCTACTGGCTCTTTCTAATTTCGCTCAATTTTTTTCTAATGTTCCAACGGTTTCATTGCTTCAGGCTTGTCTATATAAATCTTAATTCAAAAGATTGAAAACAGTTCAAAAAAGTTTAAAAAAATTGAAAAATATTTAAAAAACTTCAAAAATATTTAAAAAAATTAAAGAAATTGAAAAAATTCAAAATAATTCGAAAAAATTCAAGAAAATCTAACGCACCAAATTAAACTATTTCGTGATTATGTACTGTTATAAATTCTTTCTCAATAAAAACTGAAAGCCCCCTCAGTCCCCCACCCGCTTTTGCAGTCCCTGCTCAAAAAACATTCCCGAAGAACTTGATGGTGTAGCAAAAGAAAAGGTTTTCGGGCTACGCCCCTCCTGATCGGTTAAATTTCGCTTATGACGACCAAACATTTTCCATTCCTTTAAAAAGAACTCACTCATTGTCAAAACTGAAACTTCACAGGTCTGCTATTTTCTTGACCAAACTTGCATCAATCTCCTGTGATGTTCCTGCAACCTGTGTGTGCAATACATGGATTATTAGAGAGTAATTATTTTGCACTTGTCATCAAAGCAACCCCAGATTCCAGAATTGTGAAGCGATTCCCTGCACTTTAGTACTTCTCTTGTAAAATTTTCCCTTTATGTGTCGATCTTTAGAAATATTTAATATGAATTTTAAATCTTGAAAAAGAACTTGACGTATTCCAAATCAAATGCAAAGATTACTGAGCATTGCTGAATTGTTTCCACCTTGATGTAGAATTTTACCAAGGATCGGTGCGCACGATTGATCTCTGGAAAAGATTAGATTCCCTGCTTCTGATATGAAAAAAACCGACCAAAAGCGACCAATTGTGCCATGAAGTTTTTGTGCCAGTTGCGTGGTTACTGTGGCTTGAAATTGCGGGAATTACTACAATAAAATTTTTTGATTCTGAAGTTGCTGTGTCTTTTGCTCCAAATAATTTTGACGAATGTTTGCGTCTCTTTCGGTGTTATAGGAAATCTGTTGATTATTTTATATATATCATTAAAAAATAATTAAACTAATGTAACAAGTCAAAAAATCTTTCAATTTGACCTTTGCAGAAACCGTTAGAGTTCTGCAAAAATGCGTCCTTGATTTTCTTGTGTAAAGCATCTACAAAGTAAAAGGAAAAAGAAACCTTGTAATCAGGAAATTATATAATTTCTTTCAGGTGTACTTTCAGGAGTTACAGCCAATTTTTTGTTTCCTACAACATCATGTAATCTCATCGATAGTTATGATCTCTATATAATTACATACATAAATTTTTTCTAAGCTTGTTTGCTCTTCCATGTCTTGGTTAATATGAGTTTAAGATATCATTTATAGCATCTGCAGTAGCATTGGTTGCAGCTACTGAAAAGCTGGGATTGAGGGACAGGGTTGTTTAAGCAATTCCATTTCGGACCCTTTCATTTCTCAAGGTATCTCTTTTTTGCATCATAACATTATAAAGACTTTTTCTCAATATGAACACTGCATTTTTCGTACTGGATGTGTGTTTATCTTTCGGATACTAGCCAAATTCAGCCTGCACCCCAGTCCACAAATCTGACAGCATAGGTGGTCGGGGACGCATGCTAGTGCACTTGCGCTGTGATGTCACTTGCGTGTGACTTGGTAGGTCTGAAATAGACGAGCTTGTGAAGGAAAGGGTCTCCAATTTCAACGAAATGTGACGTCATCTTCATGTAAAAGTTAAGGTATTCTCTGATCGATTCCCTGAATGTTTGGCAGAAGAAGTAATGCAATGGAAAAATGAGAACTATTCCGTGAAAATTCTCTTTCGTCAAAAATTGAAGTCTGAAGCAGTGAATGAGCAACTGGAGGACAGTGGCGTAACGCACAGTGTGCACTTTTAAGAAGAAAACTAAGGGCCCCCAAACATTTGGGCTCTGATGGGGCCCCCGAGAAATTTCTTGAAAAATTGGTTTTAATTAGATGGAATAAGTTACATCCAATGAGAAAAATAGAAAACAAAAATAGTTATAATTATAAAAACCAATGAGATTTCTATGCAGAAGCTTCTTAAAGGAGTAGCTCTCTCAATAGATAGAATAATCGAGGAGAGATCATCCCCTGTAGTAAAAACATCACATGTTAAATAGGACATCTGTAAATGTTATTTTCTGCCTAACCAATTTAGAAATTTTTTTTGTATTCATTATTTCAATTGTGTATGTTGAGAAGAATATGGATGGACATAGAACTCACTTTGGTGGTCTCACTGGATAGAAACACACCTGGGTGGAAGTCACGCAGACCAATATAATTTTCTTGGCTGTGGAGGAGTGGTCAACACTGTTGCCTTGCAACGGCTGAAAGGAAACATATGAGCAATCTCCCCCAACAACAACAACGTGGTGTAAAAGAATCCAGTTGGAGAAATTTCGATTCCTTATAAGCAAAGCAAAGCGCTAATCTTGGCCAAGTAGTAAGTATTGTCTATGTAAAATTAACCACTAGGATAAGCTTTTCAAATAAAAGCCAGCATACCATGTTTTTTTGAAAATTTGCCTCAAGAAATGAGCTGATTATTTTTCCATATCTTTTTTCTCCCTTAATACGTTATTTTTGCCCAGAGAATTTGGGGATAGAGTCATGAAAATTGTTTATCTTAACTCCAGACTAAACCTTCAAGCTTTGATAGCCTTCTCCTGAAGAGTAAAGGTGCTCCTATATTTCTATTATTCTCGACCTCGATGTCCTTCATCTTGACATGTCATCGTCATTTCATAAACGAAGGTAGTTTTGGAAGCTTGGCTCTCAAGATGGTTGATGTTCCATTATTGTTCATTCGAAGTTAATTTCCAGATTGCTTACGTCTGAGAGACAAATTTTCCCAATTTCTGTCTTCATTTATGTAATTGTCTGTATTTTCTGTAAAGCAAAGATTCCCCTTGCTCAGTCACGAGTATGAATTTTAATATCTAAACTTTATTTGATGGAATGTTGATGTTGTTATGTGAAATAATTAGAATAATTTTTTGATGTCAAAATTATAGATAATAATTGCCCTTTAAGAATACTGCGATGTTGTTCCCATGGTGTAAAGATCGAGATTGAGATTGAGAAACAAAGAGTGTGTCAGCAACTGATGAAAATTCGAAAAAGCTTTATTAATAATTTATTACTTTTTTCAAAAGTAATTTTTATGCTTCATTCATATGCAAAGATATTTTTGCAAGACAAGGGAGGTAAAGCTATGGAATTAGTTATAAAATAAAATTATGAAGTTGCCTTATTTGATGAGATAAAACTCTATCAGGATAGATCAAACAGTTATAGAGTCTCATCATAGACCACTTTATTTATAGAACAAAAACAAACCACCAGCTTGAGAGATGGGGGTTTGTTTGTGTAAATTGTCCTCCATTACTCACTTTAATTTCTTTGCACAAGAATTTGATCGAAAAAACACGTCCACCAAATTTGCAAGTTACCAAGTTTTTACCATGTTTATTAAATTGATGTAAAATACAATTAAGAACAATAAAGAGTGTCTAAATGCATGCAGAAAAAACTTAATATTGTGAACAATAATAATTCACTACACAGTATGAAAATGAAATCTGTTTGCTAAAGACAGTTTGAAATTAGTGAGATACAATATTGTTATTTCTTTTCATACTTACCCTTTGATAAAAAACTTATTGATTCAAATTGAATTTGTAGCTACCTATGAAATTTAATCCACATGGTACATATGGAATTCATATTTGATCAGTCATATGAATCTTAGTATGCTCTGCTTTTATTTGTAAATTTTTTTCTATTTTCTTTTCTGCTTTTGGGTTTCCTGAGTTTTTTATCACTTCTGATATTGCCTGTATAACAGCAATCTGTGATTATAGAATTATTTCTTGTGCACATATCTTATGGATGAATATAGATTTAATGGTTCCAATATTTTTAATTGAACACTGTTTTTCAGTTGTTTAGCCTCTTCACTACTATATTCTAAATTTCAAATGTTTAGCAAAATTAAAAGTCAGGCATTCAAGAATAATTTTTCAAAAACAATAGAGAAGATAGAAAAGGGCTACTTTTTGGCAAAGTTTCAGTGTCAACAAAGACACGATTTATAGATATTTATGTTATATTTAAATTGTTGCCTTGCTCTGAATAATGTTGAAAAATTTCTGCCATATTTGTTTAGAGCCAAAAAACAGTTTGACAGTAGCAAACCACTACCATGCACTAATGCATATTATTTAGAATAGAATATGCTACATAGAACAGAGACTCTGGCACCCATTTTCACTAAATTAGAGAATCCCAAGCTCCGAATCAATTTAAAAGGTAAATTAAAATCAGAGCTGCTGCTAGCTATTGTGGTCCATAGGGTGTATTTGCCTACAAACTGGGTGAGACATCCTTCATTTGCAGACAAAGTCTGAAAATTGGACTTGCCTTTCACTTTTGCTAATCCTAAATAAATAGATTAGGAATGTCATTGTTGTAGATTTCAATATGTGTTGCATCTCTAGTTCATATGACCTTCAATTTACAACCAAAGTTGTTTATAAAGGTTCGTAACAGTCATACCATCGCTGAATGATGTACATGTCCCTGCTAGATGATTTGAAGTTAACAATGATTTTCTACCATTCCAATTTTTTTATTCATAATTTCAAATTATCTAAAGGCTTAAATTGGTTTTTTGTTCTTTATTTTTAGGAATTTCTTCAAAATCTGCATGGTATTTTGCATAAATTAAAAGCATGAAGGCATGTCATTGAATATATGCTGTCACAGCGATTGTTTTTAGTGGCATGATTTTACAAACATCCCCAGCCTCGCTCTATCCCCGGCAGCATGAGCATGGCACAAAGGAAACTTCGTGCACGACCGCAAACTTCTCTCGGGTTTGAAAGAGATACCCCTGATCTCACACGTTTCGTAACACAAGGTCAACGAAAAATAAACTCCCGCCTTGAACGCAGAACGTTGAAAAACCGGACGGAAGAAACTATTTTGAAGCCGTCTATAAAATCAGGGCCAGTGAAGTCACTTGCTGAAGCTTTAAAACCTTTCGAAAAACATGAAAAGAGGTGGCAGAAACTAAGATATCCTTCTCCGGGTCTTGTTAATGAAAAACCCGACAACAAGTCGTCCCCCAAATGGACTGCAAAAGGATCAGATTCTAGAAGTCCCAGCAAGTATGGCACGAAGAGAGCATCCCAATCTGCGAGAAAGCAGCGCGAACTCAAAGATGAAAATGCCAACGCTCCATATCATCAGTATGACAAACAGTTGAATGCAACCAAGAGGCGTGTAGGAAAAGCGTGGTCTGCACCTGATGGCTTTCAGAGAGGGAGACATCCGCTCATCAAATCTCACTTGAGTGAAGAGTTCATTGGAAACAATGAAAATTCAGGTTTGTATTGTTTATGTCACGTCATATTTTTGTTTTTAAAAAAAGCTGTTAAAGTCATGTCACTTTGTTGCTCTAAAATTATTCTATCTAGATATCAAATTATCGATAATCCTGTCATTGTAACCTTTTTGTATTGCTCAAAAATTAGATTAAGTAAGACTTTCAAGATTTACAAGAAAGTTATTATCTTTTCGATATGCCCGCTAGACGCCCACGGCTTTCAACCTCCTTCTCTGGTGATTTTCGCGTAAAAAAGTAATGTTTATCTATCTACGGTTCTTTAAAGGTTGCTGACAACCCGTTAAAAGGAGATCCAATCGTTTTCCCCGTCTAAATTTTAAGAGCTTGCGTGTCTCTATTTGTTCTCATTGCCACGGTTTAGGTTAAATCCTCTATTTGATAGTTTACATTGAGGAGGCCCCGTGTGCCAAGGCAAAATATAAGCTTGTAATGTATTTTGAAATTTTTACTTTTCAAATCCATATTTCTTCAATTAGGCTCCTTTCATTTTCGTATTGAGTTTCCCCTGCATTTCGTTTACTGCTCTATGCTTTCTTAGTCGAAAAGCAGTTGCATCAACACGCAGGGGAAGTGAACAGAATATTGTAAAGCGATTTTTTTCTATTCTAGGTAATGTTATGCATAGAGGTAAGGAAGCTTTGGAAATAGCAAAATCACCAAACGGAGTTGCAGACAAAGAGAGTCTTTTGGGTGTCGAACCATTGAATTCTATATTAGAACAAGATGATGTTCAAAGGTATTTAGACGAAGATCAAGTACAGGAGATGACAAAACTGCAAGATTCTATTTCACATGTTTCGATGGATAATTTGCATTTGAGCGACGCTGATGACGCTGATCGGTTCGATACAGATTTAGAAGAAGATTTCCCAGGTAAATTGATATTCGATCTTCAATTACGCGCTTATTGTGTAAGAACACCCTTTATAAGAACACCGAGGCTTGATTTGCTAAAAGAAGGGACAAGCCGGGCCTAAATTGCAATATTAGAAAGAAAAGTATATTTTGAAAGGTTTCCTTATGTTTACAAAACAGAACAGATCTTATCAGCTGATAAAACGTGTTACTAAAAATGTAATGCAAGACTTTCATTTGTTAGCCTTGGAATAATTTACAGTTTCTAAATGTAAAAACAATCGATTTCAAGGCTCAAAATGTATAAAAATGAAAACATCCAACCACCGAAAATTATCTGATTTCTATGAATAAAAGAGGGTATATCATGTATGAGAAATGAGACATTAGAATAACCAGAAGGCAAGAAAACAAACCATGGTATTTTTGTATTTTGCTATACGACTCCTGAAATTAAGTTTGCCGTAACAGATTAAATATATCGACTACATATAGATAAATGACTGCATTGAACTGTATTGAACTCTGCTTGTCACTTCATATATAGCTTCCTGCAAGACTATAGGATTAAGTTTGTTCAAAGAAATTTGAGAGCAGATTTTGAAGGAAGCATATCTGTGTGAAGTGTCATTTTATTTACCAGCAGCATAAATTGCTTATTTTGAGAGAGAGCTTTATAGGAGTTGAGCTGTTCCTCTTGAACTAAAACAAAGTCTCCTTGTGTTTTTTGTCCTGATCTTCTATGAAGCTTTCTTTTCTAAGAGGATGAGTATTTGAGCTTTACTATAGAACTATGAACATTAACGAAAGAAGATCTCAGCACTTTGTAATATACTCAGAGAGGATTCATGTTTAATAATAAAGATAATATAAGTACTTACTGTCAATATTTTGCACTTTGTAATTTATGGACTTCTTTAACTGTAGAACCCCCTCCCAAAGAATACGATCCTACAGAAAAGCGGACGTATCTTGAAAGTTGCTTAAATCAAGGTATGTTTTTATTATGATTGCAGTTACCTACTGTAGCTCGTTTTTAACCAATCAACCTAAAGAAGTTTGGTCGTAACCAACCTAATCACAAAAAAGTTGAATTCAAAACAGCCGTTTTAACGGCCGTGCTTGCAACTGAAGCCTTTTTGTGTGTTTAAGCGGCCTAACTCCAAAACTAAAAGGTATAGCAAAAACATACATGATATATACAGTTTTCCTTTTCATCTTTCCTTTTATTCTTTACTTTCATTAGGTCTCCCTCCCGAATCATTTATCAAAAACTACTTCTTAAACTTCTGTTCTCAATCTCAGTCATCTTCTCCTGCTTTTATTCGATTCTATGGTAACACGTGACTTAACAACTAGGTTCAAGTTTTTCACGTCTCCATAATTGACACATTGCCTTTAATTGCGTTTTAAATGTTCTTTCTCGTGATAGCAACCTTAACTACAACTTAAAGTAGGTTTCTAGATTGTCAAATAATGTGAACAAGGCATCTAAAAATTTAGTGGTGTATGTTATTTCTGCACATTGTCTGTGTTTGAAATTTAATTTTTCAGTTTATCAGTCTCCTGGTATCCTTGTAGATGCATTTCAATAATTTTTGCAAAGCATGCACATAATTGTAATTTTTTTGCAAAATCTTAAAGATGATCTGAAATGTTTTAAAGGCATCGTACCAGTTAGTTACTTACTGAAAAGACTTGGGGAGCGAACTCTGATAATGAGGCACCACGGATTAGGACCTCACGGGACACGGCCACTTGCAAATGCGCTCTTGGTGAGATATTTTCACATTAAAGCGTTCTTTTTGGTATTTGACTGTAGCTTACAATTTAACACATCTATAAATCCAATAAATCGTTGAAGCTCTGGCACCCATTAATATAAGTTGCTGAAATTTCCGATTTTCAATTTTTTTAGCGATTTGCGATCTGTTCATTGTATTTTCTAATTGATTTTCATATTCAATTTTTCCCTACATTGCTGCCATAACAATACAGCTATTAGATCACATTTGTGTTACCGTATTTGAACGAAAATGAAAATTTTAAACATCCGAAAGCAAAAATTCCTCGATCAAATTTTGATTTTTATTGTTATATTTTACATCGCGATTGTAAAGTGATTTCGATTTTTGCTCCATAGAAAAACACATGCATCGAGGAACTTGATTTGACGGACAATGACCTGCAAGCTGATGGAGGGGTCTTGATGGCGCTAACTCTCTATGAAAACCTCTACATCACAAACTTGGTATGTTTTTTATGCTGTTTCCTTCAGCTTTGGAAGCCAACCAATTCAATTCCTCCACGATATAACATTGTCACGGGAGGGTCTGTGTCACGGGATATCCCGCGTCGCAAAACACAAGGTGAAAGGTGATTCCATAATGTTCCAGTATTCTACAAACTGAACTCTCTGTTTTCCATTAATGAAAATGAACACTCATCCAGTCTATAATGGCTTTTTAGAAATCCTGTCCTTTATTTAATCGATTTAAGGGTTATGTCTTTTGAATATCAGCTTCAATCTAGATGCCATCCTTCCATTTGCAGCTAATTTATTTTCACACTTTTTTCATCGATGCTTCTCAGAAAAAGACATATTTTTATGTTGAAGTCAGGTTTTCTGCTTCACTATCATTTCTCCATGACCCTCCCCCCCCCCCCCCACCTTTCATATCATCTGCGTACAAGAAGCAGCACCCTTGCGCGCAGGGGCGGACACTTGGTCAAATACTTGGGGGGGGCAAGTCTATTGTCTTTTTAAGATGACGTCACATTTTCCCATTGTTTTATAACAATGGACCATTATCCTTAAAAGTATTTTTCTTTTTTTAGGATTTGTCAGAGAATTTCCTAAAAGTGCTTGGTGGCATTTCCATTGCAAAAGTTCTTCTTACAAACACGTCACTTAGGAAACTTGTGCTCAAAGGTACGCATTTGAAATACACGTGTTCCAATGTTAATTACACTGCACTTTGATAATTTTTTTTACTGTACAAGTTTAGAAAGGTGGATCCAAAAAAGGATTCTACCATATAACAACCTTTGGTTTGTCAATTTTTTGCATCGAATTTTTGTTAGAATTTCTAAAGGCTCTAAAAGTCTCTTGTAAAGCAGGGCCATATCAATTTGATTAATATAAAATTCACGAAAGGTAAAGGAAGTTTAAATGGTCGACTTATTTCTCTTATCAATGGGGAGAAAAGAAAATTACCATGAAACATGAAAGGAGATTTTTAAAATGCCTGAAGCGTGAAGAAAACAAATGCTCAGACATGAAAAATAAAAAAGATATCAAATGAGCAAATAAAAGTTAATGATTTTCCTAAACATATGGTGGTTACCAAACTTGTGCGTGTTAATGCTTTAATGGCATTGAAAAACTCAACTTATGCAAAACTCTGTCAACACAAAATCAACGAAGCTTTTTGGCTTGGCGTAGTACATTCTTAAGCTTTCATGGTCGATTTTTCTCCTGTCTTAGATATGCCTGACTGGGTGTTTACTTATATCAAGACGCTTTAAAGAGTCGTTTGACTCTCTGTCTTTTTAGGAAATCACTTCACTGACAAAGTTGCCAAAGCATTTGCAGAAGCTTTAAAAGAGAATCGCACTCTTTATCACCTCGATTTAAGTTATAACGACTTTGGTGAGCTTGGAGGATTGTACCTTGGAGCTGGTTTGGTATGTGTGTCTTTAATTCTCACCGTCATTTGTAACGATTTATCTTGTTGTTTGGCCTTAAAATCAACATGTTGTTTAGTTACCACGAACAATTCGTGATTTGGCCATTGCAGTTCGTGAGCATGAAGGTCGACGTTTTAATGTGGCATAAGTCAGTTTGAATCCATTTGATCGAAATTTAACCTTGAATTGAATTAGCGATTGAAATTTTATTTCTTCTTTGTGTAACTTTTTGATGAAAACAAGTCAATCTAAAGCTTGAGTAAAAAAAGGTTCCGTTCCAGGCAGTGAGTTTTTGAGAATTTATCCACTCATGGCAACCAGGGTCGCAAATTAGGGGTTTAGGAGTGTCACCCCTTTTCTAATAGTTCTAGCCAATCCTTCCTGGGCTAAACTGTAATCGCGAAAAGTCGACTCGCTCTTTGGCTGTAGTACCGGGTGAGTGCATTTGCTAGAGACAATGTCGGTCCATTGATAAGCACAAAAACATCTGCATGAAAAATATGACGCACGATGTGAAGAGACGAACACAAACAAATTGAGGTTTCCTTTATTCTGGCTCCAGTTGTTTTCCTATCTTGAGCCAATAAGTAGGCCAGAAATTAAATTTTATTCAACTTTGCAGTTTTACTCAAGAGAAGTACGCAAAATAACTTTTACTCGGCCAAAAAATTTTATCTTTGACATTTGAAGTTCAGTATGACATAGAGCAAACAGTGTTAGAAGCGATTATAAAAATATGACAATTGATAGCAAAGAAAATGAATATTTTTACCATAATATGTAGAAAAATTAGGCCAAAAAAACACACGACTGTAAAAATAAACTAGGCTCACCTCCTTCAATTTTACACGTGCCCCTTGGATTCCTGAAACATCTAGTTATAAGAAGTATGTACTTGATATCTATTATTTGTAGCCATCCATCAAACGTGCTTTTTTGAAGAATCTTCCTAAAGCTGGTTCCATTGACTTGCATTTCACTTTGTTTAGGCGTCATTTATTGTTGTCCAATACAGCTAAGACCGTACCCTCTTCATAGAGGTTAGAAATAAGATAACAGGATGACTTGGCCGAAGTTTTAGGCATCCTTCTTGGCCTCTTAACATATTCATCACACAATGAAGAAATTTTTTAATCATCGCGGAATATTTGTAGCTACTAGTATCTGTACTTCTTTGAGGATTACACGAAACAGCGGAAATTTTCTTTATTTCGTGCCATCTTCAAATTTTGCTGTACCAAGAACTTATTTGTACATATGTTTCACATTTATTTAGTTGCTCCCAAAGATACAGTTTAGTAAAGGGCTGTTTATTTTCATTGCTTTAAATACAATGTGCTCAAACATTCTTTAATACAGTGACAATATTCTCCGATATTCTTGAAAATATGGGCATAACCATATAAATAGATGGTTTAATAGACGAAACCATAAGCATAGATAGTTTCTAATGGACTGTACCATATGAATAGAAAGCTTCTAATGGGCGTTACCATATGGGTGGATGGTTTTGAACGTACATGACCATATAAAGGTGACTATTTGTATAGAAAGCTTCAAATGGGCGGTACCATGTTGATAGATGGTTTCCAATGGACAAAACGATACATAAAACCAGTTGTTGATTTTTTTTTGATAATTCAAAATATAGATATAGACAATTCAAAATATTGTTGTTTCTAAAAGCATACACGTTGGATAGTATCTTGGTGATTAGAATGTGATCTAAACGATGTGGCATTTTATAATGCCAAATGTAAACATGCTCTTCTTCTTGATTTTGTTTTCGAGAATTTTTTTGTGATGACCCTCCTTCTACTTTTTTTAGCAACACATCCCTGAATATATCTGCTGTCTTAGCAATAAATTTCCATCGAGAGTTATGTTTCCGAGGCTGTAGGACTCATTTGTAACTTTAGGGGCACAACTTTGGAAGAGCACGTACCAAGGTCACCAGTGACTAGAAAATGCTGACAGTGTGAGCATTATTTTAATGAAAAGTCAACTTTAAGGACAACTTATAAGGGCCCTTACTCCTTCTCGAAAGAGACTTGCAAAAACTTGGGGGGGGGGGCTGCCCTTTCTCCTCTTCTTCTTGTTTTAGCGTCTCCTGTATTAAGAATTCTTGATACCTGTCAATTTTGGATGAATACGTCGTTCATGCATTGCCCAAATAAATCTCATTACTATTATTTGCATTCTTGAAATGACGTCACAAACAATAGCAGTTAAGCCAGTATGTGTACAGTCTCTCTTCTCTGTTTTAATCTTATGAAGAGGTTCCTCCAAAAGATCTATCTAGTCTATCCCTACCTTCAAAAGTTTGTAACCTAGGAATATTTCTTTTAGGAATGATGTAGCGTGCTATGTTTTGACTGAATATGTTGATATTGTTTGTTTTCTTTTAACAGGGTCTAAATTACGGACTGCATACTTTGAATTTGTCATGGAATAGCATTCGAAATAAAGGTGCTGTTTCAATGGCTGCATCTTTAAAGGCAAGTCAACTAATACCAACATCATAGGATGCGAAATTATGCAATGTATGGATCCTTTCAAGTCAAAACCCAGTCCAAATTTCCTTTCAGAATTAAAGGGCCTCCAGCGAAACATTAATCGCATTTTTGCCTGTAAAGATAATCTTCGCCCACACAATTTTTTCGATTTCGCAATTCTAGCATATCATTACGATAAGAGGCGTATATTGTATTCATTCATATTTTAATAATTCATGAATCACAGAAAAGGCATGCACAGAAAGCAGTCGATAAGAAATGCAAAGATTGTATGATGAGATCATTTATCTTAGTTGCTTTAACATAACATATGACTGTGAAATCTATTTTATACATCAACCTCCTCCTGTTTCTGCTACCTTTTTGCCGAGAACAAGATCAAAGCACGGTATTACCATTCAAAAAACTCACTTCAATATTGATTGCAACTTGTAAGAATTTTATCGGCGCGCCGAAAAAGGATTTTTCTCCGGTATTCTTTTTGAAATCAAATGACTGCTTTATGAATTTCTCTGTAAAGCTTGTCTCTGTACAGGCATCTTACTAACTGAATTTGGTTTAATGGTTCCTTTGATATTGAAATGGGCATAAGTTGAGTAGACCATTAAATCCTCATCTAAGTCAACTTATATCTGTCAACTCGGATTGGCACAAAATGTGATCTTTTCCTGGCTTGTTTTTACATTTGACTTTTCAGTTGTTTTCTTGTGGCTTCTTTATATCTTTGTTTCATTCAACAGACAAACGAGTCGCTAAAAGTTCTGAATCTTTCTTGGAACGGTCTTGCATTTGTTGGAGCTCTTGCATTCACAAGATACCTCAAAATCAACGAGACCTTGGAAGATCTAGACATAAGGTAATATGATTTTTGTGAAATTCTCATGTTTCTTTTACGGTTCTCTAACAAAATCCTTTTGAAACTTATTACAAAATGCCATTTTTCTCTAATTGTCCAGAAACATCTAATATACTGAATAATAATGATAATAATAATAAAACCATGTTTATACAGGTAAACTTGTTCAGCAAAGTTAAATTCTAATAAAAGAAACAAGCAATCTAAAGCGAATTCGGATTGCCAGATATTTCAAAACAGATTTCTGCTTGTTCTTTTCTATTATTCTATTTTACAATAATTTGAAATGAACCAAGAATTTTTCTAAACCGACTTATGTTTAAATGTATCGAAACCTCTGTATGTCTGGGTTTCGTTAAGGATCTTTCCAAGGTTTAAGTCAATTGCAGTGGATTTTCCCAATTACTTGCTACACCCAATCATTCTTAACATGATATGACTAGAAACACTTTGCTTAATTAGATTTGATTAAAAAGAAACAGTTAGATTTGATAAAAAATAAATCGGAAATTTTTGCTCGTGGACATTTTCCAAATATTTCAACAACTTCTACAAAAGTTTCTAAACAGGATACCCTGTGTTCTGTTCACATCTTCTAACTCTATGCTATATCTTCTAGCGAAATTCTTGTGCTCTGCGCTAGTTCTTTAAGACAAAGCAGTAACACAAGTTTTCATACGCCTCCCTATGTATCATAAATAGCCAAGGACCGCGGAAGCTACAGGGGCTTTAGCCCCCCCCCCCAAAATGTCCAAAATGTACTTAAAACCATGCAAAAATCGCCCTGGTCTTGGTTTTTAGCATTTTTAGCCCTCCCAAACGTTTCAGCCCCCTCAATCTGTAGTATGCTCCGCCGCCCTTCTAAATAGCTCCATCTTTTTTTCTAAAAAGTAAGTGGTTTTGCCACCATTTAACATTTTGATTTGTTTTGTCCATATCTTACGTTATCTTTGTTAAAGCGCTGCATAGGAGTATCTGTTGAGTCAGTGTTAGTAAGGTTTTCGGACAAAATCATTTTCTATGGTTTGGAAGTTATTAGAAGCTGTACTTTACTGACTTTCACTAGAATCGTGGAACCGAAGAAAGAACACATTTTTTTGTTGATTCAAAATACAAAAAGTTTTGTTTACAATTGTTCTCTTCTTTTTGCAGCAACAACCGGATTGGACCCAAAGGAGCACAGCGACTTGCCTTTGCTTTAAAAGTAAATGCGAGTCTTCAATGTTTCAGGGTGAGGGTACTTTTGACTCTGTTGGTCCAGATTATCGCTAATTTGTGTTACAGTTCATTCGTTCCTGTACAGTATTTATTAAGTAATGAGAAAATAAATATATATTGCTAGAGTTGCATTGCTTTTCAAACATGAAATTCTTTGAAAAACAAGTTGAAAAACAGTCTACTTTACAATCACATCGTGTTTTCAAGTTATTAGTAACTGGCTTTGAAAAAAGCAAACATTTTACAACATACTAAATGCTTTTTTGTCTGACACTCCTCAGAGTATAAAACGTCAGAATTAGAGTCCAAAACAGGGGTGTCCATCGTACCAGATATGGCCCGCAAGGGCGTATTTTGTGGCCTGCGTTAAGTAAACAATTTTTTTAACAATTCGGTCCTTGTGTCATGTTTATATTTTGAGACAAATTTTCTCATTTTAAGGCATACATACAGTCTCAATAACAGGGCCTACGCCATGAATTTAAAAGTGGGGGGGGCAAGGCTAACAAAAGTAAGGGGCCAAGGCTTTTTCCCCTTTTACTGCAGCTTTAAAACTACTTGCTTCACAAAAAAGTGGAGGGGACAGGGCCCCTCCAGCCACAATCCCCCCCTCCCCGCGACGTGGGCCCTGAATAATGTTTTTCGTTCTTTTCCACCGTTGCAGATCGGCCTCAATCCCATCGGTGACGAAGGTGTAAGAGCTATTCTCAATGCAACCAAGCAAAATTCGTCTCTAAAGTTCCTTGGCTTAGAGGTATGGAAACTAGTTTTGCAGCCCTAGCCATTTTAAATTTGCAGCTAATAAATTTCTTTTTACGTAGATTTTTTGTTTGTTTGAACAGCTCTTGAATAAAAAATTTAAAAGTTACAATTTATATAGTTGGTGTATCAGAATATATAACAAATGCTGCCACCGTTTCTATGGAAAAGTTTCTCAACTAATTGCATATCTCCTTCCTCAGTTAGATAAAACAGATGAGTTAGATATGATATTGAAATTCTTTATAGTTTGTAGAATCTGTTCATGCTGTCATAGGAATCATAACTTACTCAAAACTTACTCAAGTTGTCGTGTCGTTTTGAATCGCAATTTTATCAAAACTGAAATAAGGTTGTTGTGTGGTTTTGAAATTTAACTTTCTACAATTACCTTATTTTAAGTTTTATTCATAGAAATTGTAATGTGAAGAGCACATCTGTTGACAATGTAAACGCTTCTTCCCTTCGCATTAGACCTAGATTAGCTGCTTCAAATAAATGTCATTACTACACATTTTTGCCTTCTGTAAATAAACTTATTGTATCAAATTTGCGCTTTCGTTCTTTTAGTTAAACGTCGGTTTTTTTAGTTACAGAAAATAAAATTGCTGCACAAAGGGATAATTCCTGTTGTCAGGAGAATTCCCTTTCTCTATTTTATTCGGATCTAGTGCAACTGCTTTGAAAAAGCGTTTGTTGATGTGATGCACAATGGGGCAGCATTGAAACCGATGCTTTAACCTAAAGTTACTTATTTCTTCGATCAAAATCAATTTAATTCAGCGAAACAAATTGAGACGTAAGGCCAAGGCCATCTATGTGCTAAAAGGCGAAACAAATTGAGACGTAAGGCTAAGGCCTACTATGTGCTAAAAGGCGAAACAAATTGAGACGTAACGCTAAGGCCTACTATGTGCTAAAAGGCGAAACAAATTGAGACGTAAGGCCAAGGCCTACTATGTGCTAAAATGTATCTCGGAGATTTTATCCAACAGGATATAACAGTGTCTCCGAAAGTGCATGATGAAATCTTAAAGCTTGAAGACGAAAGGGACATAGTCATAAGAACTGGAGGAAAAACAGGGCACACTCAAGAATCAGTAATTATATTTCCTTTGATATTATTATCTTAAGGTATCGAGTTTGTATGGTTCATGGATTATAACAAGGAATGTTTATAATATTCTGTCGTAAAATGATTGGCAAAGCTGTACACGCGTATGATCAAATGATGAATTGCAACAAATGTGGATTTTTAAAATGCACAAGCATATATGATTGCTTTATTATAAACCTGAGAATAGATTTGGCCAGTTTCCGCAATCGCGCCAGCATTTTTCGTCATTAACATTTATGAGTAGCAGAAGAGAGTTTGAGTTCTTTAATTTATATATCATGCTTCATGGTATATATTTAATCTTGCCTTTAGTCTTATAACTGAACCTTTGGTGGGTTTTATGTCAATTAATTTATCTTTATTTTTCCTAAAGAAATTTATTATTGTGAACATGGATTTTATATAAAAAGGTGTTAAAGATAAACAGCAATGAATTCACTAGTCGAGTGTGTTTGATTTTTCAGCCACCGCCTTCAGGCATGGAGATCCTGGTGCAGTTTATTCAAGACAATCGCCTACGGCTTAAAGATCTATTTTTCCAATTTGATAAAGACCACAGTGGCGATATTTCAAGAGAAGAATTCAAAGCTGGTCTAAAAGAAACAGGAATACAAATGAACGAGGTAAAGAAACATGTTCTGCTTGAGTGGATTATTGTTTCACATAAAAAAGTTCTTTCCCTGTTTAGAGCATGGCAGCAGAATGATGGCCTTTATTTTCTTCTTTCCAACCAAATCAGTGTAATTTGCGCATAAATAAAAATTTCACTTTATCATTGATTGCTTTCTACTAGGTTTCAGTTCTTTAATTTCTGCTGAGTTCCGCCGCTGAGTTCACTCCGTTACGCTGTTTCTTTACATTCTCAACTTCCACAAACTTTCATCCTTAACAATCTTTACCATTGTCAAAAAAGAAGGGAATTTGCTTTAATTGATAATTTTTACAACCAAGAAAAGAACGATTAAGAATAAGCTACGGTGTTCAGTTTTTACCAAGATAAAATATCGTGTTTTTACAAAGAGTATCGCGGAGAGCTCATTTTCAGCATTTTTTTCTGGACTAAACTCTGGGGAGTATCAAGAATATTATCAGACCATTGCAGATTTGTCAATGAAAAAAAGGCGGTGGTCAAAGGCATGGTCCGCAACTTGAGCCACACCCCATCCCATGTTGCTGCAAATAACCAGACAGCAAAGGTTTGATGCCATAAACAGGTACATTAGCAACATGGATGCAAGTAAAAATAGCCTGGATTGAAAATCGAGGAACAGCTGCTGAGCACCTTGTAAGATATATTCAGACAAAAGCATGCGTTCCATTGTGTGGGTCATTTATTTTTGTCATACGAAATGTAATGTCAGCTGTGAAGTAGCCCATGTGGATAATGCATGTTTCATTTTCAAGCCAATGTAATGATTTCATTTGCATTTTACTATGAATAGCATCAAAACCTATCTACAGGTCCTAATCTAACAGTTTATCAAGGAAATTGCATATATTCTTTCTCATTATATTTTAATACATACAGTTTGGCAAAAAATTCTTTCCTTTTGTAGATATTTGTCAAGAGTAACCGTCCGCTTCGGTTTGAAATTGCAAAAAGCTAAGATAAACAATTTGGGAAACCGCATAACACCAATATCTTTTTACGAGTTTTAGTTCCTTAGTAACCTATGGTATCCTTCAATCGATCTCATCTCTCATTAACTTTAAAGGTGCTTCGGTCAGGACCTTTCTTGACCGCTTTCTACCCTCAACAGCCCTTTCATTCAAACACACTGTGACACACTTTTGTTCCGGCCATTGTTTGCCATCCTCCAGAAACACCTCTCATTGGCTGGCGTTCAGCTACTTCGAGCAAGTAGTTTATGTAGAAAAGGCCACGGAAACTCCAATATAGTTATTTGAGAGGCTGCTGGCCTCTATTGCCTCCCAGATAATATCGCTATTGACTATTAAATTTCAGGGAACAAAGTTGCAGCAGACGAAACTTTCATTGTTAATTTCAATGTTCTGCACACATAGGATTTGAGTATCAATCTTCAGAGTGGAAATTGCAAGAATTTGTCAGAAGTCATTCCCCATAATTCTAAACGTTGCAACTGCAAGAGTTTAGAACTCCCCGCTGCATGTATCCATTGTAGAACATCATGTTCTGTTATAGGAGCGTATCTTCTTCAAATAAGGCTTGTTTGACCTACGAGTTTTTATAACTATAGTTTTTGATAAAAGATTCAGCTCCAGTGGCTTGTCTCAAATAAACAATATTTTGATACGAATATTATTTTAATTCATCTATGGCATTGAATGAGGGACGCCGGAGAGGGGGGCGCAGGGGGTCAACCGCCACTGTTGCCTTTTGATAGGAGGAGCAAGGGGGTTCAAGTGCCATTTTCATAGAAGTGCTTTTTACGCCGGCCTTTTGTAGAAAATCCATGAGATTCATATGAAATTCTGACTGTAGTGCCTAATTTATGACCACGTTCTCGAAATTTGTGAAGAAATTTCTTATGCCGAAATTTAGCCGATTTTGAAGATACTGATAGAAGATCGAAACAAAATGACAGTTACGAAAGAATTGTTGGTAGCTGGGAATTATATTTTTCAAATGCCATTTCACTCAAGCCCACCCCCCTCCTTGCCCCTTGGTCGCTCCAGCGTCCTGCATTGAGTGTTACTACCATTTTTTAACATTGCTGCTTCATGTTCGTGCGTTGATTAGGTTTCACTTTTTACTTTTTAGAAACAACTGGATACTCTAATCGAAACTATAGACATTGACAATAGCAATACAATTGAATACAGGTAAGGAAGACCAATTTATTACAAGCCGAATCATCTTGAATAGGTGTATGCATGCAGTAAAAATTTCAGTGGATTCTTATAATCATGATCAATTTTTTTAGACTTTTATCAACATTAGAACAGGTTAAAATGCATTTGAAAAATATGTTATGCGGCCCTCTCTCACTAGGCATTATGTATGAGTCACATGATTATTATACGTAAGTTGATTTTGCTTGCGAAATGTGCACGGAAAGGTGCATTGTAGAGAGAAAGGCTGGGGGAAAGAGATAAAGATGAAGGCCACTTACCTTAATGGCAAGTTAGAATTTAAACTAGACTGGAGGAAGTTTGACTGATGTAGTTCATCAGAGAAGGGTGGCTTGCTCTTGTAACAGCCGCAGCAGTTTGGAGCGTCGTTTTATGATTTCACATGCCATTCACCATCATTTTACATTGTCTTTCTAATGACATTATGTTATTCTACGGGATTTAGATTCGCAGTCTAACATTTCGTATGGCTTTTCAAATTCTCGATAACATATCGTATTCTCACTGCTTATTTCGGCGTGGCAATACTAATTTTATGACTTTATACCCCGAGTTTTTTATGGCGCTTCAAATTTCACATGGCGTTTCAAATTTCATATAAGATGATGCAGGGTCCGGCCTACTACATATTTTTCGGTCTTTCTAAAATCCCTAGCCTTTCACATATAAAAATAAACATCTAGGTAGTTTCATTCACAACTTATAATAGCTTTTTGTAAGTCATTCGACAGGGTCTTTAAACTCCTTGAGGTGCTGAATTATGATATGTTTTCTGATCTCGTGGCTGTGCTACCAATTGACTTGGTAGTCAAGAAAAGCTTAATTCAGATCATTATATTCACTATAAATAGAGAGAGTTGATTAGGATCCCGAAAAACTAAAAATACTTGTTTCAGCACCAAAATGTGGTATTCTGTAATCAGAATAATATCATCAGTTAGCGATGTGGGACTATTTTTTGTCAAATTTAGCGGTTTCATACATTCTATTAATGTCTCGTCGACAAGAACCGGAGTGCATTTTCTAGATTCAATTATCTGAATTATTCTTGGTGTCAATCCGAAATAAAGATAGCATTAAGCATAGGAAGAACCGTGAATATTTGAAATATTATGGCCAAAAATTCGCTGTTTCAATCACTTGAAATTATGCAGTTGATGAATTTCATGTAGGTGTATACTACTTTTGTCCGGATCTCATAAATAATTAACATCAATAGCTAAGTAAAATGTTCCTGTTCAGCGTCGTTACGTGGAGGCTCAAACTTTTCTAATGAAGTGTTCTGTTGCCAAGGTCTGTTTGTTGCATTTTTGAGCGAGTCTCGTGCCAATCAATCTATTCTTGAATTTATTCAGTGTCAAATAGTATAACTGCACTGAAAAATTCTTACGTTTTACTCAAAATCTCTTATTTTATGTTTATCACTGAGATAATTATTGCACTTTTACGTGCCTTACGATTTACTATTTTGAAAATTAGGTATCGCTGCAAGTTATGATAAATCCTGTTTATAGTTGATCACACGCACTATATTGTAGAATGGGATGGGGCATTCCCTTTCTTTCATTGTTAATTAGTTGCTATGCTATTTCTTGCAATTACAGCAATCTTGAGAAAGTGTGAATTTATTTCATGCCATTGAAGAGGCAGTGATATGTGTTCACTTGCTTGTGTTCACTTACCAGGTCTCCTTGTGTTAGTCTTGATGATATTACATAGATTGCGCTCAGTAATTAAGCATTTCGGAGTCATTAAGATTACTTCGTAGTTGTGAAGTTGGCAAATATTAACTACTTGTTTCTTGAAGGATAATTTGACTTAAAGCAGAGCTTACGATTTTTCATGCCAAAGTTTACCTTTAAGTTCTCAGAATTGCTTGTACTTGCTCTTACTGTTTACTTTAGTTAGAAATAAGCAGGAAATAATATTCTTTAGATTTTGTGGCTGAATAATTTATGATCTATTTGCAAAGCCCATAACTACGTCGGAATCGCATTAGAGTAACTCTTTGCGATTTCAGCATCGGTCATGCATGTTTTTACAGATCTTTCTGGTTAAGTATAAAGAAACAAATAAATAAGGAAGATGGATGTATTTTCAACAGTATTAGAATATTTGAGAAGGTTTATAATTTATAAATAGAATATCTAGAATAAAAATAACAAAGATGTATACTATTTTGAATAGCAATAACAGTGTAATGTATCTTCAGAAACTACACCAGTTTGTATGGAATCACGTGTTATCTCCGCAGCTACTCCCATCCGTATCATTTCAAGATTTCTAAACATTATTCACCAAATAGGCTTGGTTTTAACACATTTAAAAAATGTTTTATTGATCTGCTTCATTGAAAGAAATTGAGGATAGATTAAACCCCATATCGCAATTTTTATTTTGCAGTGAAATTCTTTATGGGAAGGAACTGATAATGCAGGAGAGACGATTTCAAAAGAAAGTAGCCATAAGAACGGAGGAAAGAGAGAAAGCAAGCATAAGGCTGCCAAAGTTAAAAGGTTTTGAAGATTAATATGTATTCAATATAGTTTTATAGTTTTACTTTTTTGAAAAGTTTTTTAGATGTTTTTTTCGTAAGAGCTCGGATAGACGGAGAGGGCATTTCGCTGAGAAACCTTCAAGAAACAGAAATAACATTATTTTTGCGCTTAACCCACTTGTTTAGGAGCTATTTAGCAAAGTTAAGGCAAAAATTGACCAATCAGTGAGCGTGATTCCACTCACGCGCATATTGATTGGCTAATACTGATTGATAGATGGCTTAATTCACTTTTATATCTGTTGATTTTTCCTTTAAATTCTGCTAATCAATTGGGGCTTCATTAAGTCACGTGCACAAATAAGTAAAGTCAGTCACTGCATGTCCCTTGATTAGCGACGTGAACACGCTTCGTGTAGCAAACCTCTGGAAGCACTATCCAGGGCAGGACCTTCTGGCACCAGGCTCCTCGAAATGCTAGTTTTGCTGCTCTTTACTTAACAATATATGAAGGTATGACTCATTTTTCAGTGAAATGCCCATCATCGATATCCAATACTTTGTGTTAACCAATCCATTGATTTTTTAAGCAACAGTCTAACATTAAATCGTAACTAGTGCATCTGCAATTTCTAGAGCCCCACACCCCCACCCCCACGTCCCCAATATCTGTCCAACTGTACTATGTTTCCTCTATAACTGTGTACTGATCAAGAGGCAATACAATGAGCACCCCCCCCCCAATATGAATTTCATTCCTACGGCACTGTTCCTTTCGTCTTCCTTTCAAGGTTTTAAGTGGGGAAAGTACCCTTTTATAACCTTCAACACAGAATCATAGTTAAAAAAATGTAATCATTCTCTGTTGCCAAAGGCCTTTTTATTTTGATATACATATTACTGGTCAATATCAATCCTGTTAACATTTCGTACATTGCTGTTTTTAAGATTAGTCAATAGCAATCTTGTTAACATTTATTTGAAGCCAGGGTTGTGCTGTTATTTCTGTAGTACTGAATTTTAACTGTAATATTGACAATAAAGACATAGGAAAGTATACAGAGGCACACTAAACATAGAAAAGTAATTAGATTCAAAGCTATAGCTATTTTTGTATCTTGCAGAATCGGATATCGTTTATGCCTAAGTCTTGTAAATTTAAGCTACTATGTTTCTGAAAAGAAACGAATAGATTGTATAATATATTTCTATATTGGAAAGTAGATTGTTTCTGTCGTTTCTGTCGTTTCTGTCGTTTCTGTGTCCGTATCTGTTGAATGCTTGGAATCAGTCTCGATGACACCGTCGTCATAACGCTTGATGTTAGAGCCCTTTGTGACGATGGCTACATCTGAACGTCACTGAATGAGATCAACGTACATGAAATCAGAGTTGAACAAAATTGGTCAAACTTTATATCGATAAAACATCTATTGAATAACAATCTGTTATTTAAACCGATAAAAATTCGAAGGCGAAATAAGAAATAGAGTTCTAAAGTGTGACGTCGCCAAAAGACTATTTTTAGAATTTTTTAATCCTAACTACATGACATAAAAAATCTTCATGAGATACTTCCACATATGCAAAATCAGTCAAATATGTCTAAAATCAGTTGGAATGTGATCAGGAAAGAGCCAATACACACGTGGCCATACCTCAGCCAGTTCGTAACACATTTGACTGATTTTACATATTTAGAGGTATTTTATGATACTCTTTCAGATTATGGGAGCCAAATTCAAAAATTCTAAAAATAGATTTTTGTGACGTCATCACTTTAGAACTCTTTGACCACTGATATGCCAATTCATTGCCTGCTTTATCTGTATTGTTGTATTGTATAGATTATTTAATGTTAGTTTTTATTATAGTGAAAACACGCTAATTAAGATTAACATAAAGCAATTTCAAGGAATTGCATAAGACAGATTACTTACTGCAAAACGAGCACGCGCATTCGTTTTCAAGGAACCAAGTTTTGATCAATTTCTTAAATTATCGAGTATTTTGTCCTGTCTTTGATGATTCTGGGGGTGAATTCTAGATTTTAGGCCCTTGAAAGTTGAAAACCTAATGATCTGATACAATTATTGATAGTTCTGGCTTTTTGAATGTCAAGGGGGTTTTAGAGTGGAAGGTTTTGCAACAAAGTAACGCACAGTTAAGCCAAGTTCCTAGCTCTTGTTTAAGCATGTGTTCTTATTGGACAATGCCTACGAAATTTTGGAATGGATAATTGAAAACACTTCATACTTTTTGCTCAATCAGTTTTTCAGAATTTGGACGAATTACCTGAAGATGGCTGAACAGTGGATTTTAGTGACTTTTAGAGTAGACGTGTTTTTGGGATTATGATAAATTATTCATATGCATAAATGTAAATTTATAAAAGCCATGTTAGTTTTTGGATAAAAAGTTTAATAAGTTGAGATGCTCTGTTTCTTTGTGTTTTTTTCTGTGTTTATATAAATAAGTGAATATCTGTATAGCCTTTTGGAAAACCTTAATTATGGCGGGTTTTATGTTAAAGGCGGTAGGTAGATTTGTTTTTCAGTATTTGAAATATCTTGACATGCGATTGTGGCCTTGCATCCAGGTAAACATTTGTAATAATAGATTGATTTTTACTATTAATCTTGAACGGAAGAAATATAGCTATTTCTCCATTGCAAATTAAATTTGTGTTTTTGTCTTTGTATTTTTTGTCAAATTTTTTGCTTAGAACCAGAAGTTAAATTGTTGTTTTGCCTGTTAAAGGCACAATTTGCTTCATATTTCAGATAACTTAAAACCATTATCATTTTAGCAAATTGAATTTTAGAGAAACCTCTTTCATGGAATGATTTCGTCCTTCCTCTGAGAGATATAACATCTTTGGTACCAGGTCCAATGCGGTGGCAAATGAGTGGATGAAGAGGTTTTAAGTCACTCATTTGAATATTTCTGTGAGTAAATTATGGACATTCTAGCACCCAGGGATTAAAAAGGTAAAAATGCACTTATTACTTATCATTTTGTTTTAGAAGACAGAATAGTTACTGTTTATCGAAGTCACTTTTGATACCTTTTATGGTGAAGCAATGAAGAAAGAAAACTTTATACATTGCATTTTAGATCAGGTACTCTTGATGGGTATCTGTCTTAATTGCTTTTTCGTGCAATCTTGAAGCTTTCAGCGCCAAAACTGTTCTTCCAGTGTCTTTTTACTAGACATGCGATGGATGGACCTAAAGTACAAGAATGCTATAGATTCGTCTTAAGGAATGATTGATAGATACCATCAATTCAGAAATCCACAAAGCAGATAATTCAGAGCTGGGCATTACGTCATGTCGATGCCTGGGCTAGTTTTTGATTGATAAATAAAGTGGAAGGCATGATATGTATGGATGTAACGCGTTGCTGATGAAAACCAGCCTTCCGATGTTTCAAAAACAATTTTTTCTTCACAAGCTGGAGATAAGAAAATAAGTGCTTTTGGTTTCCTTTCTTCCGACCCTCAAAACGAATAGATCATCTGAAACAGCGTGCCAGCTCTAGACAGGTTTTCAAATCTGCTAGCTTCTTCATAGTGCTACAGCTGCATCTATGTTTGAGTAGAAACTTTCTGCTACCTAGCCATTTCTTGCAAATCACGTAAAGCATTTCCCGTTATTGCATATTGCGACTTTCATTTATAGTTATAAGGTATATATATCGATGTTGTAGAACTGGGAGAGAGGGAATGGTTTTCGCCATAGTTTTGTCCACCTTTTCGACAGTCAGTGTATGTTTGCTATATTCTTTTAAGCCCCTTTCAAAACGAGGCAGCAGTTGTTTTACGGCTGGAGTTAAGAAAAAATAAAGCCCTTTGCAATGTTAATTATGAGGTCCCGTAAATTCACCCTGAAGAAGATAGGTTCATCATGTACATGAAAAGTCATTGTCTTCAATATAGGCAAATTTCTGAAAGATCAGGGATCGTCTTTGGAGAATGTTTTTTGGAATTTTAAGACAGGTTGCATATGCTGTAAGTCAGGAATGTACATCAAAACAAACTAGAAACTGTTACTAGAAAGCTTGAATTTTTAAGGTGAGATATCGTAAATTTGTGTTTTCACCACAAGAAAATGATGCGCCTATAAACGCTGCAAACAGAACGGAATGAACACCCACAAAAATAGAAAGACTGGAGAGAAAATAAGAGGAGAAAGAGAAAGGCACCCACACTAACAAACGCTTGTTGGGAAAATCTATCACGTTTGCAATCAACGCATATGAATTTGTTATACACATCTGTTATTTTAAGAGGATTAACCTGATTTTAGGTCAATAATATGCGCAAAAACGTCAATGATAAATCAAAAGAAAAATATCTTAATATGTTTAAACCAGGCCAAGGTGGCCCTGTGCCTAAGCTCAACTTAGAAAAATGGTTAATCCGGCACTGATTTGCTTCATGGATATGCACGCCGAGAAATGAAGAGATAACAAATATTTCTTGCTTTTAAAAATCACTCCAACCTTTACTTATTTGAAATTAAGATGACTGTGTTCACATAAGATATAGTCATAGTGAATCGGCAAAAGAGATTTTTTCTCAAATGACACTTTGCTGCTATCTGCATCTATTTAGCACAAACAATATGGCAGTTGTTGAGTCAAGGTCACTCCCTAACACATTTGTAGCAAATCAATTCTTTTCAACTTCAAGCAAAAGCTATTTGCTATAAAGAATTATCTACTAAAATAAGGAAATGATCTTTTCCATTTCCATGAAACTGACATTAGAGGTGGCCAACATTTCTATATATCCAGTTCAACTCCTTTTTAATTCAATGCGTTATCGCTCTCAGCTCTCCCTCGCTCCTCCAAACATAATCCCTCGTAAGACTCTAACATACACAACAAGGAAAACACACAAGAATACTTTTCAAAAAGGGAGACTTAAACACATTTATGGAGGAGGGTGTCGCACAGTGCTGTCCTTTTTTAAAGCACGAAAACACATTTTGCTGTAAGATGTAGCAGAAATATTGCGCTGTAAGATATCCAGATGCAAAGAAAGATGAACCGTGGGTATTACTTTTTATGTCATTGAGGTTATTTATGAAGTTAGGCATGGGCATTATTCACATTGTATTGCTTGGTAACTAATCTTAAATCTAAAAATCTTCCGATATTGATGAGAGATCCATAATTTTGATGTCTCGTACAAATTTCAGCCTCCCTTGAGAGCTTGATGTAGAGGATATAAACAGTATACATATTTCCCCTTCGGTTCATGTGCGTGTAGATGTTGCCCAATCTAAACATCATTGCTAGCCCAGCCCACACTTCTTCCGGCACATCTGCTTTCCTTACCACATCAAGCAAGGCAAGTATATTGTTCTAGCCTCTTGTTCTCGTGTTAAGCTATGAATATTTCAAAAATACTTGTGTTATTTGTAAGGTGATAATGTAACTTTCAAAAATAGCATTTTGTCCCGATATCAAACACATCTATTTCAACATCTGATTACTCAATCGATGCGCTCGCACAATTACCGACAGCTGCAAGTTAGCAAACTATAGATAAACGAATCAACCTTGATTATATTTTCTAAAATTTGAGATTACCATAAACGATACTACTAAAATATTGTATTTTTGCAATAGTCCAGTTTCAGTTGCATACCTAGCCTAAATGACTTGAGTGACCAATTTGCAGCTTTTTCGGTTGACAAGAAGACGTTCAAAACACAGTAGTAGACGAAGCCCAAATTAGCTCTCAAGGAGATTTGAAATTGGCACAACAGCTGAATGCCGAAGATCTCAAATTATTTTTGGTTACAACACTCGAAGTTTCAGTATCTTTATGAAATTCTTGAGATGCTAGAAATAGAGACAAAAATGAAGAAATCATACCACATTTCATTGAATTTGCATGACATTTCGAAGGAACTTTGAGTTGTGCTATCTACGAGATATTAGACATTCTCTGAGCCACCGTAGTTAGGGTTTGCCGTCCTAAAAAGTTTAGAACGAGAGCTATGCAGTAGGGAACGCCTTTAAGCCACACCCAATACCCTCCCATGGTCACATCCTATATACTTTCATTTGTGTTGAAGATTATCTGCTGTGTGCAGGAAATCATTCAAACTATTCACCGACAATGAAAGGCTGATAGAAACTGTTTTTTCATAGAAAACCAATAGCATAACAACGTTTAATCACAATGCAAGAAAGGAATTCCCCCACCCAAACATACACTGGCTTGTTAAAGGAGGGCTTAACCCCCAAAATCTCTCTTAACTCTAACAAGGGGGCTGAGTCCTAGTCTTGAGATATATTCGCTGCAAGATACTTTTCGTTATCCCTTTATCCTGTTTATGAAATACAAAAATATAAGCTTAAAACGTCTATCTAATAATCAATAATTATAAAACTGATAATAATATCGTGTAAATGTATGCTTATAGCCTGTAATGCATCTGGTAACCAGATTGGCAACTTTGCTATATGCAATTTGAGATCTTGGCATGCGATTGAAAAAACTTTGGGTGATGCAAAACTATTTCTATGGATCGAAAGGGATGCGAACCAATTAGAAAATAACAGGTGTTTGAATAGCTTCAGACACAAATGTCCTTAATCAAATACCAACAAACAGTGAATTCCATCTAATTATAATCTAATTAGTTATTAACAGTTAATATGCAAAGTTAACAAAAAGTTGGTGTCGTGTGTTGTTGTGGTTTGGTGAACTTAATGTAACACCAGTAAGAGGCCAGGGCCTTTGCGTGCGAGATTGAGCCACTGAGGATGGTTGTTGTGATACCGTACACACAGGTGGTTATGGCGACAATATCACATAAAAGCTACGCATTTTGATGGGATTCCGTACTGTGTCTTGAAGTACTTGTGTGTCATTTCCAGATGCGCTGCCGTAAAGTATGTGGATGCAGGAATTGCTTAAGATATAACACCAGGCATTCGAGTTTGCATTCTAACTTGTTGTAAGAGGATGTTCTGCGATAACTGGCCTTGGAAGCGCGAAGACCACACATGGAGTTATCCAGAGTACTATGACAGATCTTTCTTCAAAGAACTGTCTTGTGCCTCAGGTGCATAATAATGCTGCAGCACAAAGTTTAGCGTTTAAAGGGGTGCAAGTGCAAAAAGACACTCAGCGACGCAAGCATGAATATTTTATCGTAGTTTCTAACTCAAGATCGTGCCGACATCCTAATATATGTGCACGCGTCAACGACTCGGGAAGCCAGGGGTTCGTTCACAAAAGTTTCGTAGCAAAATTGTGCAACCAGCATAGTCTTATTGAGCAAGAAAATAAAGATGTTAAATACTTTTCTCTCCTTAAAGAATACGTTACTTTGCTTGCAGCCATAAAGAGTTTGATAAATGAACTGGAGAGCATCGTCGAAGGGCAAAGCGGCGATGATGAAGGGGACCAACGAAATAATAACATAAACAACTGGGATTTATCGAAAGTTCACAACATTCTCGAGCGGTATAGATCCGATAGAAGACAAATAAAGAGACTTGAAATAAGATTCAGGTCATTTTTGAAGTCAGAAATGCCCTACTTATCGAACATGATTGGCTTGAAGATACACGGCCTCTTCCGTTTCGTGCAATGTGCAGAAAATGATTTAGTGCAAAATATTTACATGATCCTAAACAAAGAACTTATTAATCTCCCCATTCTTAAGATGAATAGGCTGCTAACAAAAGACACGATATGGAAGACAAATTGTATCCTCCTCTTTCAGCTTGCCAGTAAAATTGAAAGCATTTCATCTCAAGCTATTCAAAACCTAGAGAAATGGGAAAATAGTTGGAAAGATCGAGTTGCAGTTTTTGTTTCCAAGAGGGGTGGTGTAAGAAGTCAGTTTCCTTTTCTGTATCTTAAAAATTTGTCACAACCATTTATGCTTTTCTATATACATGACTGGCTAATCTCAGTTGGCATTTCACAGAGCCTAAAAACAATTACTTGTGTTCGTGCTGCTGAAGCTTCTAAACAAATAATAAGCTTGTTATATTCTTTGCTATTTGGTGAAGACCAAATTTTGAAAACAGATCAGAATCAAAATGGACAGGCAGAAAGGTTTTCTACCACAGCAGAAGCTCAAAACCCAAATTCTGAAATGTCTAGAAATCATGAGAAAGGTTCAAACATATCTACAAAACAAAGTCGCTGTCAGTTATTTCAAGAGCTGTGGGAGTTGGGACATAGAGATGAGCAACTTCTCGCTGAATTTGTTGGTACTGCCTTTAAGCTTAGTATTAAACCTCTCCAAGTAAAGGAAATGGCTTTAAATGTTCATAATCAAAAACATTCTTCACAAGAAACAAACAATCCGTTAGCTGTAAATGGAATTCTGGATCCTTCTGGTAAAAGAAGCTCACCAGCTGCTAGCAAGAAGGTCCACTGGGGAGACTTGAGTAATTCCACTATTGATCAGAATGTTTTAGATTCACATCTACATTTGTTGTGGCAGACATTATCTGAAAAATTTGTTGAACAAATAACCACAGAGTTTACTTGCATTGACACTACAAATCATAAATGGGATTTCCCAATTTCATTGATGGATCCTACAAGGGCTGGAGTTGTCATGTCATGTCTGTCTGTGAAGAAATTGAAATCAGATTCAGGTGAGTTCATTTCTTTATTATCAAAATTATGATTTTAGGTTAGTTCATTCAAGAGAAGGGTCTTAATGTCAATAGCTTTGGTCTCCACATTGATAGTTTTAGGGTTTATGTAAACCTGGAAATCATGCATTTTAAATTAAAGTTAACTTATTAAGTATCTTTTTAATCCTATTAATAAATAATAACAACTAAGTTAATAAAATTATTATGAAAGAAAAATTTATGTTGACGGAAAAAGAATAAATTAGATATGTATTCAAACAAATGAAAATGATATGTATGCTATAAAATTTCAAATTCGTTCTATTAAAATATCTAAACTAGATTTAATCCATTCACCTAAATACATCTTGCAGAGTCCTGCTTGTTTTAAGAGCTATTATTTTTATGCCCTGTTACCAAAAGAAAGGGGTTGAAGCTCCTATTTAAGATTAAGTTTTTAAAATAACATATTTTTCTGTTTTTGCATTCATCCAGTGTACTGGCCTTTTTTGGATCCATTTCAAGTGAATACATGTTTTAATAGCAATGAAAAATATTGATAAAAACGAACCACTTATAAACATTTACCTGGCCTGAATAATACTTGTTATATGCTTGTGATTTTGACCTATCTCTATCAGCAACTGGGTATATATTTTCAAATTCACATTTTCAATTCTTATTCTCCCATTTATCAGAGCATTGGCTAAAAATCTTTACCTTTTTTAAAGCCATTCTTAAATTTTGTATCACCAAATATTGTTCAGGTATCCTTCAGCTATTTACAAGGTAACTTATGTAGGCTTCATTTTCCAATTGGGGGTAATGACAAGGGTATGAGTATGACTTTGCATGGTCTTTGTTTCAAGTATTAATTAACAAAACAGAATATTTATCTGTAATATTTAAAGCTAGCATCATTATTTAACACTGTAAAGAAAAATTGTATTTTTGAAAACAGTGTGCTTGAAAACTGAAAAATTATCAGACTAATCATAAAGAAAATTACATCTCAGTTTTTTGTGTTGGAAAAGAGGCAATTATAAGTGCAAAGTCTCAATTCAATCATTTCGCAGCTGCAAAATTGTTTCGTGGATTGGCAAGTGCAAGGATTGATGTATTGACTTACTGAAATAAATGCCAAAAATTAAACTTTTCAAGGTTGCTGCCATTTTATCTGTGGGGAATATTTATTTGACAAAGAATTGTCCTCTTCCTTTTTTATGGTCAAAAATTTATTTATCAAAAAGTGTCTTTTTATTACTTGAATACTCCTTTGCCAAGAATATTTAATCTGATGTGAGTTTGAACACAACTTTTGTTTGCAACATTTCACGAGGAAGGGTATTTTAAAGAGTAGTTCTGAATTTTTTTGGTGTTGCCTTGCTTCATATCTGCAGATTTTAGTACATTAACATTTAAGTTCAAAATGTGCTATTAAGCTTGTTATGAAATAATTTTTTTGATACTTGGCAAGGGGTACACCCACTTTTTAATGCTAGGAAAATCTAGCATATTTTGATTAAGCATTTTGGCTACGATTGTATGTCAAAAATTAAACATCAAAGATCGGCAAGTCACATATAATACACACTTTTGTAAATATTGTTTTCTCAGGGAAAATATCAAAAACATGTGGATTAAGAAAAGTAGAAAATTTTATCCACAGGTTTTGATTTTGATGGAATTTGATTAGCAACCAAAACTGTGGAGTCAGTTTTTAGTAAAGGTGCTTCTTGCTAAAGTTGAAGACACTCACAGATTGTAGTCAGCGTTTTGATTAGCTTAATTACCCTGCCAAAGTTAAAAGACAAACTTAGTCATATTTAGATCAATTTGTTTGCTTAATTCAAGGAAAGTCGTGGAGACTGAAGCATCACGTTGTTCTCTGTACCAATATTTGTCTGTAAATATATGACCACCTTTACATTGTTTGAGTGCATTTATGATTATTTTCATGTGATTGTCCCCTTTACCGTACTGATGTACTTGTAGCATTAATTTCTTTCATTTCATTAGGAATTTCTTTCAAAGATAAAAATTTCCAAGAAAAAATAGCAGAGGAATCAGATAGTTCCTTTTTGGTGATTTGTTTGTTTCATTGTTTCAGCAGAGAGACAAAGCATAAGAATTTTCCAAGATTGATGATCTTAGTTTAACAATTACTGGGGATCTTTTATTGAAATTTTTTACAACAAACCATAGTCAGACTATGAGCAAACATATAGCATAATTGATAGGAAACATTAAGCATAACCCCCGTTTTTCAAGAATCTTGAGACTGAAATTTGAAATTCTGGTCCCCCCTAAAATTAAACCCCCAAGGGGCTGGAAAAGCAACAACACCTGTAAGTGAATGTTAGAAGGCTGGGAATGATAAAAGGTACTTATAAAAGAGCCATCTTTAAAAGTTACCTGCTTATTAGAATTTTCAGCATCAACTGGTATATAATACGTCTACATGTTTGGAATTCACCTAATTCCTTTTTGCCAAGAATGCAGACAATTTTTCATGAATGGCTCCTTAAAATGTAGAATATAATATTCAGTGTGAATGCAACTGACTAGTTCGGTTTTCATTTATAATTTTAGTTATAATTACTTTTTGTTTATGTCGACGTTTTGGGAGACAACATGAATCTTTTCTAAAGATATGAAATGATATGTTGACATAAGAATCGATTCAGGCTTACTATGAAATAATGTTCTTTTATCTGGATATCTACTGTATTGATAAATATTTGAAAACTATATCTTAAAATGACTGAAGAAATAGCGCAAACTTCAAGGATTGAAGAATCAAATTCAGCCAATTTCTTCAATCGCAACCCCTTCTTGAAGATCCTTCCCAAGTTTTCAGGAAAATGCTTCTTCGGTTAAAGAAGTTTACTATAAAATAAATTGCTCTTATCAAGAATAAACCCGGTTTGCTTACGGACTACACTAAAATCATATGGATTATTTTGCTCAACCATCTTTGGGCGAACTCCTTTTCGAATATGTTTTGAAAATCTGAAATTTGATTAGAAAACAAGTTTAATGAAAGATGTACTAGTTTTATAGCCACCGTAATCTGCTATCGATGATGCGAACAAAGTCCTACTTTCATAAAAACCACCTGCTGAATTAAATGCAAAAAAGACAGCTCATCCTCTTCCGAATTGAGAGGAATCACTCCCTTGAAGTATGTTTGGTTTAAACTTTGATGTTTCTATTAAGGAGTAACGTCTATTTCAGGCGTTCAAACTGTTTTCATCTTTTTTCTTAAAAACATTTAGATGAAAGGAAATTAGACACAGCTCCAAATTATTTCTTGAACAGCGTTAAATTCATAGCTGAGAAGCAGCTGATAAAAACCTGATAAAAATATATATATATATATTTATATGATTGTCGAGAAATGTAATCGTAAAACGTGTTGAACACAGCTGTCTGAATATGTTTTTATAGCTCTAAGCTGCCGATTATTTCTGCAAATATGGATAGCAATAACTATTCGAATATGCATGTTGACTTTCGATAAATTACCTGCCTTCCCGATTACCCGTTTCCCTATTTTCGGTGCCCCCTTTCTAGATTGGAACTAGCTTATCAACCTGCATTTTCAAGTTTCAGGAAACAACCCATCCAGTAACATTTTATCGAATTATTAGACAAAATGAAAAATTGGTGACTTTTCTTATTTCGCCCTTTTTTGTTCTTTCTGTTATTTCAACGTTCTGCTTATCTCGTTGTAGGTGAAATAAACCCAGCATTCAAAGCTTGCGCAAGGAGTATTTCAGCGCATGTTTTATTCAGTATTTCCCTGCAACGATGGGATCAAGGTAAGTTTTTTAAAGTTTATTTTATGCCGTTGTTAAGAATTGGAACTAGGGAATGATATTGAAAAAGAGGCACCCAATAGCTTACCAGACCTCAAAGGCAGAATGTCAGACACTACTTCTCTGCTTTTCCGGCCATTTTGAAATTTCGTGTCAGTACGAAAAGCTTATTTACTTATGTGGAGACTAGACACTGAAGACATGGAGCAGCTTTCGTCAGGCTGGCCCGTACAGCAAAAGACACTGGTCTTTATAATGGGGAACTTTTGTGGGGCTACTTTATAAGTAGGGAGAGGGACTACTGGCAATAAGGCAAGGTGCAAATGGAAGATGATCAGGGAAGAATGGCGCGTATTTTTTAAAACGTTTCCCTGGCTAAAACTGGTTCTTTCTGCTTGAAGAATTGGCAGACCTTTCTCCCGACAAACAATTAGATACGTACCAATTTTCAGATTTCGCAGTGATGTCGAAAAATTTACCTATGTACCTAATATTAATAAATATTTTATAACATCTAGTGGCTAGTTTTGTTTTGATCGATAGTTTCCCGCCAGTTTCTTATGAAAAGCATTTTTTCGTGTTATTTACGTAGCAGGTGTCGAGCTCTGCTCGTGAGATCTAATCTGCTGAAAGCCTTACAGTTGATTTTAGATGCATTCTTCTTTCCCTTGCTTCTGCCAACTTTTGTTGTAGGACATGCTGTCGAAAGGTTTTCATGTGGCCCTTTTCCCCTGAATTTTCATGAGAATTTATTTCACGATCTGGTTCAAATGTCCATGATGCAATTTTAGATAGGTTTCAGTTTTCATAATCGATTAGAAATAGGATTTGTCCCCAAAACCTTTCATAATTTTTACTAGTTGCTAATTATTTGCTAATCATATATTACTTATCCAGACTCTCTGGAGGAGGGGGGGGGGGTATTGTTACTTTGTTATTTTTTGTAATTTGACTTGATGTTCGTGTTCTTTTCTAAGTTATTAGAACTGCTCAGGCATCAGCTATCAAAGACAAATGCCGTTTAGCACCAAATGCAGCTCAAAATTGCACTGAAACCATGAGTCTTATAATGGAAGCGGTTGCTCCAATGCAGAGTATATTTGAATTACTAGCGTCAAGTCGAGGCATGGGTGTAAGAGATCCACGTGAAAAATCAGAATACGATAAGCTGCAGAACATAACCCTGGCCTTGCTCTCATTGAAGCTGACCATGCGGGTAGCTGTGCAATGGCTTCAAAGCAAATCGCAACAGTTTACTTCATCTGGTTCCTGGGAACAGTATCACGTGATCACAAACAGGGATGCAGAAGCTCTTCAGGAAAAGCTTCGACCCATTGTTCCGCATTTTATCACTGTGACGAAGAAGATCCACCTTATGGATAAGCCCAAAGTTCTATTGTTTCATGAACTGCAATCCATTCAAGATCTTTTTTCTAAAATCAAGGTATTTAACATTTTTCATTTTTATTTAATTTTATTGAATATTAGCCTGACCTTCCCAAGACTGGTACTCTCTACTTCACAAATCTAGTTAGCAAAAAATCATTTCCTCTATTTCATTGTACAGAATCTTGACTTTCCTTTTGTATATAAGTTCTTTGCCGTCATTATTGTCAGATTTGTGATAAATCTTTACGTCATCGATGTTAAACTCGAGCTAGCAAATTCTGCATTTTTTCTAATAGTTTCAGTTTCTTCTACACATATGTCAGTAGCATTACTTCATACCGGCAACATGAGTCAAGAACACTTCTTTAAATTGCTCGATGGATGTAAACATTGTAAAGGGTCGTTTAACGTTCAACTAGTAGTAAGATAGTTTGCCTTTTCAAATAAACGCAAGAAGATATCCAAAATGCCAGGCTCTGAAAACGTTTCTAGAACTATGTCGCCAAAACTGGCATCGATAACTGACAAAATTGGCAATGCTAGGATGGATTACGCATTCGCTGCATACTTGACGTCATGACGTAAAATGAACAGAAAGTCCTGTTTTCTACAAGAAATTCTACAATAACTCTGGAACAAACGATGTTTCGGGTTTCATATGAGATACGCGGACGCAACATGCAGAAACATGGCTTGAAGAAAGCCCTCGAAATTGGGGGTTTGTGTCTGACTTCTTCAAGTCGGTTGTTTCGTATCTAGCTTCAGATACACCATATAGCTTGCAAAGTATGATCGGATACATTTGTGTTACAAAATAGTTACTAATTCACAATTTATAATGTTAAAAGAAACATGTACCTGCGCTTTGAAAACGCTGGCATCATAAACCTCAGGTGTTTTTTGCGGTTTTGTCCTAGGAAAATTTTGCAGTCTCGAATTTTTAGTTGTCATCAGTAGAAAGTAAATTGTATGTTTCTCTTGTATGATTAAGATGAAAGTTCCGGTATTTATTCCAGCAGAAGAATTATGAGTACTTTCATGTATTTTTTAATACCCAATACCTTTTTGACTTTGAAACATGCATTTCTTTCAGGCATTCGGGCAAGGTAAGGTTGATGTTTTAGTTTCAAGCATCAAGAGTCGATCCAGAAAGGCAATTGAACAACATTTCCCTGAAGCCAAACTTTGGCGAAAAAGAGGATCAGGTTTGTTTCCTTGCATTTTTAGCTCCAAAGCCTTAAGATAGCACCAAAACGCGGAGACCTAACTCTCTGGCATCAGGTTCTACATGTACTCTGTGTCAATGCACTCTCGAATTTTCATAAGTCCACGTACCGACTTGAGAGTTTTTCTAGAATGCAGATTTTTCATTTGATCTTGTACTTTGATCTGTCAAAAACCAATGCTCCAAGTTTATGTTATCGTTCACAGTTTAAATAGTAGACTGATTCATATAATTTTTTATCCATTTATTTGTTCATCTTAGGCATGCTAAATTTTTAACAAGCAAATAGTTCCGTGCCAGTGAACAGCACAAAAATAGTAAAGCTCCGACAAAACTTTTTTTTAATAGCAAGACTTGTGAATTCTAACGCTCACAGATTTTGTGCTCAAAAAAAAATATCATCTCTTAAAAAAGGAGATTATTTAAAACGATTTTAATATATTGCAGCTCGTATTCCGTTTGAACCGAATCTGTACATCAAAGTGACGCCTCGCCAAGTTTTATTGCCTATTGTGGAGAGTTTAAAATTGATCGGCGAGGAAGAGGCAGAGCAACTGGTTTGCAAGTGCTTCTCCGTCTTTGTCACCGCTCTTATGGAACACATTCTGGAAGAATCGATTAAATTTAGGTAAGACTTCCCAATTCATCTTTTTGTCTAGCAGTGGTGATTTTTGCCCTTTTTCGTCTTGCAGACATTGAGGAGGCATGTCTTCAATTGTGTGTTCTTCCAGACTCGAAAGGTACCTCGTATTTTGACAAGAATTTGAGCTAAAGGAACTGGTGTAAATTGTTTAATATGAATGTCAGTTTGCAGAAGAATGGTGTTTCTGGAAGTATCACAGGTTGGACAACTTGGTGCCACGGTGCACCAATTTTTTATCTGAGAGCATAGATCATCAGTTAACTAAACCATGAAGTACCAAAATGTTACAGCATATCGATAAATCGTACTATTAAAATAGTTTTTTAAACTATTAATCCATATTTAACCTCAATAGGCCTAATGCTTGGTCTTGAATATTCTAGAGTGTTCTTGAAGGATGTTTGAAAATAAAAAATTTCAACAGTTCTTCCGTTCCATGTTTTATGTTGAATAAGAAACTCTTCAAAGTAAAGCCTTTCTTCTGAGGACGGGAAACCAGCCTTTGAACTCTAAAGCTCTTTTTTAGTGATTTTTATTTGACACTCTACTAAAGATGTTAGTGAAAACGTTTTTAGGGGCATCGAATGCTATCTTATCTATCCCAGATAGTTATCTTGCTTTATGATATCATTATTTTATTTCGTTAGATGTAGTAGAGAAGACTGAAAAGGAAACTTTTATCGAGACTTTTAGGTCGATGATGTGTGTTCTTTATTATCGAGATTCAAATTGAGTGCAATCCTTATTCAGAGCATGTCTGGCCATTACTAACCAGCCTGTTGAAATGTCCTTAGTAGTCAAACGATCCAACCTTTCACTCACCTTTTCACCCAACATACGATGGTTTGACCAACATGTTGAGTTCTGTTCGTCATATCATCATTTTCGATGTTGGATAAAATTTGACAGAGGTCAGAAATGCTGGCTGCCGACGCCCAGCAGTTCTATTGTTTTAAGATATTTGATGAAATGCTGGATCGATTGATCATTGTTTAAAGATGATATGATTTTCAACCTGAAGAACTTTCCTTCACCTACTCCTCATCTACGCTATTTGCAACATCTATGGGATTACGTACAATGCCTGCCAAAAGTACTTGGAACACCCACCAATTTACGCTGCATTTGATATCTTTCATTCCTTTCATGAAAAAAATAGCTACCTCCCCCCCTTCCCCCTAAAACAATGTTGATGATTTAGAGAAATATCATAAAAAAAGCGCAAAAGAAAGTGCTTCCTAAAATCCTAACCCGTTTGATAGTAAACCAACATTGTTCCGTGGGGGAGAGGGGGATGATTGGTTTTGACCTTGGAAATTGATGTCACTGTTCCAAGACTTTTGGCAGGCATTGTACATCAGAAGATGATCATCTTGCTTCTTATCTTTGCAGTCATTTTGGAGCGAATCAGCTTCGTCTAGATTTTACATGCTTCAGAGACTGGGTGGGTCACGATGCCCTGCATCTGTCTAACACCACTGTCTCAAGTATCCTGTCTTCAAATGCCTTTGTTGACTTCGATGCTGCCATAACCCTGCTTTGTTGCCAACCAGAAAGTAGAAGGCGCTCAAACTTTGGAAGTGATTCAGATAACAGTGCTTCAATTGGCAGCTCGACGTCACAAGGTAAGTTTTCTGTTTTAGTTGATGACTAAATGATTTATATAAATTCTTTTTCCGTGAAACTTGGAACACTAAGCCATAGACGTATAATTCTGTCTTAGAACGCTCTAAAACATACCACTTAACAGTAAGACTCATTGACTTTTTTAATTTGTTTTTCATGTATTTTTCCTTTTTTTGGATTCATTGAACTTCAACTTGGTTATTATTAGAATTTAATTTTTTTTATAACAACATTGTACATGATCAACTGATCAGTTGTTCAGGAATGCTAATAATTGTTTTATGTGACTTTCCGGGCCTCCATGTTAGATTGCACTCGCACTCTCTGTTCATTGCTATTTTTATTATGTGACTAGCGTGATTACTGTTAGCTTTGAGCTCTTGAGTTTCTTTGTGTGAAGTTTGAGCATTTAGTATTCTCAATTTTCGGACAAGACAGTCCAATTTATGTTCTTTTTCATACCGAAATGAGGACAAATTCGAGGCGGATTTATCTCGGTTCAAAGTTTGAAAAGACTTCGTTCACTGGGAGAGAAGAATGAGAGTGAACCTTTTTGCAGCCAAGTTGTCGATTCATTTCTTGGAGGCCCGCTTTTCTCACAGCAATGAAACCCAGAAAATTTGAGATATTCAATTTTATCACAGCGACAGCTGCAATCTTTTCCTTCTTCTTTGACCGTCATTAAAAGTGAACTTTCTCGCAAAATAACAGGATTACAAGAAATTCATATTTTAGAGCAATTTGCGACCTAGTTATTTAAACTGGTTGTAAATTTAGTTTCGATTTGTCCACGTGGAGTTGAAGATAATCACGCTAATGTATTGAAATAGTCCTATTTTTATCAAATTCGATTTAAGGTTTAATATTTACAAGCGCTTACTTTTATAGAATACATTATTTAACATGAAACGTCTTGTGCAGTTAAGAAGCTGAGACTTTATTTAAAATGAAATGTTCTTAAAACTTAAAAGGAACAGCGTTTTTAGTTATGAGTTTTCTTAAAAAAATGATTCCTTTCTTGCAATTGCTTGTTGCGAAGCTGCAAGATTTCATTTCAAAATACAGAAAAAAACTTGGAAGACGTACCTAAGGGGAATTTTATTCCTAGATTTGTTCATAATCAATAATATTGGTGCATCTTTTGTTTGCCAAGGTTTTTTCCTTTTATTATCTTCTAAATCCATTCAGAACTCTTTGATTATGTTTTATCATTTTTTGTAATTGTCAGTTTATTTAAATTTTCTGATTACTTCAACCTTTCCACAATGATTCCATAATATTTTTCATTATTTCTACTTGTGACTTTTTATAATGTTTCAGTGCATAATTTTAACTCTTATCTCATTTAGTAAGAATTTTTTGTGATTTGTTATACGATTGATTATTGCATAAAATATGGGCTGGGGCAGCTCAAACCGACGAAGAGCAATAAAGTTCAACGAAAATGATTTTTGTTAGAAATTGGCGAGATAAGGCTAATAAAAGTTTTGAAATATGCTAACGGATCACAGAATGTTTAGAACCAAGGCTTAATTACAATGATTTCGCAAAGAAAGAACCTATGCCCGGGCAAATAATTAAGCCCATATTAACACATTTAGCAGAATGTGCACATTACTGTATAAAAACTCCTTTTAGATAACAAAAAACTGTAAAATCAACTCTCGCTTTTCTTTAGGCTCGTACAATGGGAGCTTCTATGAATCAACAATTCGCGAAATTGGGTTGAGAAACAAAGATCAATGGCTGGCACTTCGGATGAAAAACGGCCAGAGCAAAAGTAAATTGTTGTGTATAACACCAACGTAATCAATCTTAACCCTTTTAATCAATACAGGCTTGCCAGTGTATCTACCCTGGGTTCCAGAACGTCACGTAGGGGATAGGGTAATAGGGCGTTTCGCTCCCAGTAAAATTTATCATGCTAACTCCTGCCTTTGATCAAGATATAATCTCACATTGTTAACCTTGCATCAAAGGCACTCATGCTGACCTCAGTGGCTTTATTTATTACGTTAACAGAAACTCGACATGTTTTCTCTTTTCCATTGGGTACTCTTTCTATTTAGAGCATTAATTGGGTAAAAGTATCGATGCCCCAATCGCACTGTGTTTAACATGGTGTTCGAGGCAGTGATCAATTGATGTGCTTCAGTGACAGTTGCGTCTGTTGCTTTGGTGGCAATGTTTCCTTTTACTTTGTGACTGGCTGTAGTTTGGAGGCACTCCCTTCCTCTGACAGATGAACATAAGTATTGATATCTCCCCTCCAATTATCTCCGCCCAAAAACTGTATTATTGGCTCTACAAGAATGATTTCAAGCGATGAACCTCTTGCCTGAGCCATTGGACTGCTTTTGCTTTTAAACCATGTAAGAATCACTTATGTTTGGAATCTGTGAAACATCTAAAAAATATGATAAGGGAGGCAGATGTTTGATTATGAATAACAAGTCTGCTTTGACAGGGAAAGATGGCTCTTATTAAAGTACGTCCCTGCTAGATTATTAATAATTTAGAGAATGATTTGCGATGTCACTAACACGTGCAATGCACTACAGAGTCAGAAATTTATCAGCTTTGACCGCTGGTACGATTTGTTGCTGTTGCACGTGACTCTGACAAATTTATTGTTTTTCAAGTCATCAAATGCGGTCGATAAAGAGCAAATAAGTGATGTGTTCTGATTTAGGCCAAGGAAAACCCTTTCAGGATTTTTATTGCAGGGAAGTGCTAAAACTCAAGACTCTCTAATTACTACAAACAATGTTGTTTCGTATTCTATCATTAAATTGTCCAATGTGATATAGTCAAAATATGTATCAGTGTTGAAGTATTTTGTAACAATTTTAAAGGCATAAAGGCATAGGCAATTTGTCTGTAAGATGGCCTTCGCAAAACATATAGTAACAAAACTCAGTTCTTGCCCATTCCATTCTTTAGAGCCGCTTTTTTTGTTTTCACCGACATAGGACGGATTATATGTTATATGGTATATTCTTGATATCGAGATTTTTAGTTAATAAGCATATTGTAGCTTGGGCTGCAATTAAAGCAGAAGTTTAAAAATTTCTGGTTGGCAGATTTTTTTCTCTTGTAATTAGCGATCGAATTGTTGTTTGGCGTGAACCAGAATGGAGTTATTTATATAAGGCGCCTGTGAAATTTAACCCACATAGTATCATCAATTAAATATCTGAACTTGTCATTTTAAAATGTATTAGAGTATCTCGTAAATAATTTATAGCCATATTCAATTATAGATATTGTGGGTGGATCAATTACCGCTCACTTGTGCACCTGTTGCTCTTGCTTGATAGCTTGTTTACAGAGCTCAGAGGTCTTCACTGGGTCAATGGCCGTAAGAAAGGCGAAAAAACTCTTCATTAAGGACGATTCTTTGCGCTCGAGAGGATTGTCCAGAGGAGAATGAAAGCTTGTCTGGATACATTTAATATTTTCCGTTTATGTTAGACCTTATAAGTAATCGACATATACTGAAGTTGCCTTAGGCATTGGCCAATCAGTGAGCATTATATCATTAAAAAGCTTATTGATTGGCCTAAATTGATTGACAGGTGGCTTAAGCAACCTATCTATCTGTCATTGGTCTTTAAGACTAACTATTCTTCAGCTAGGTGAGAGGTTAGCTGTCACAGATTGGTCAAAACAAAGAACCAATCAAACGCGCCACTTTCTCTCACGTGACTTTTGATTCACATCTGGGTATGAATTTATTGCCTACCTTTGGCCATTATCCGATGTTTACACTCAGAGGACTTCATTATGTTTTGCTGTCTTCAAATTTTGCGATACATCTTTCGTACTACACAAATTATGAAAACATTGTCGAATATAGTTCCTAGTGGTAACATGTAGCACAAGTGAGCTGTATTGATTTGCTGTTTAGTACCCTGTATGTTTTCCTATTTATAAATATCTGTATCATGGGGTGCCCAAAGGCACATTCGGCTTATTTTGGACCTATTCATATTAAATACATGTTAAACTTTCTGTAGGTTATGCTGGTCGTGCAAATTCGTATTAAATCAATCGTTATGGAGATGGAAAATTTGCAGCAGTCTTTTTGCATTAAACCTTTACAGAAAACATTCATACAAAGAACTCATTTAATGTCATTCGATTTGTTTTGATCGTAATTCATGATTGTACCATCGTTCCATCTCACATTCGCGTGCATGTTCTGTTATGAAGCATTCTGGATTGTAACCTTCTGCTGCATGTGGGCGGTGCCATTTGATAAAGATTGAGGTTTCTCAAAGACAGTCTTACGGAGAACTTAATGGAAATGGGAAAATGAGACTGATTTCTCTTGTGACTGTGAACTGCGTTAATTTGGTCGGAAAAGCTGACAAGCTCATAACATTATAAAAAATTACATATTACAAGAAAAAGTTTTGTTTTAAGAACATCGAAGGGAAGAAACATTTTGACACAATCTGTTTGAGAATAATTGAATTGTGCATTTTTTGCGCATAGGCAAATTGGCACCAAATTTGCCGCTGAGCCCAAAAAGAGGCTTAAGGAGAAACTCCACTTAAATTTCATAACTTTAATTGAATGACCAAGCATAGCATTCAAAAACTCAAAATCAAAATTTTAATTTTAGTTTAACTTTTAAGTTTCTTAAACCTATAGCATTAAATTTTTGCGAAAACCTTCAACCTAGCATTTCTTCCAAAATACTGAGAACAAAAAGCTCGTAAGATAACTAACACAATAAAACCTTATTTGGAACCTATCTGATGCCTTATTGCATAAGTTTTGGTTAAGAAATTTCAACAAATTTTCAATTTTCTTAAGCCTTTTGACATAATTTTTTTTCCAAAAACACTTCCATCAGAAAGCCCTTTAGACAATCAACACAGTAATACCTTATTTAGAACATTTCTGGTTCATAGTTGAATAACTTACGCACAAAAATTCTTCGACAAAACTTCAATTTTCTTAAGCCTATAGCCTTATATTTGGTGAGAAACTTTAACCTAATTATTTTTCTAATATGCTAGAAACAGAAAATTGGTACGACAGTTAACACAATAAAATATTATTCAGAGCCTTTCTGGTGCATAATTGAATAATAAATATAGGCACAAAAGTTCTCCAACAAAGCTTCATTTTTAAGCCTATAGCCTTACAGTTTAATCAGGAGCTTCAACCTAAATTTTTTCCGGAAAAAACTTAAATCAGAAAGCTTTTAAGACAATTGCCAGTGTAAAACCTTATTTAGAACATTTCTGGTTCATAATTGAATAATGAATTTGGGCACAAAAATTATCCAACAAAAAGTCCAATTTTCTTAAGCCTTACATTTTGATGAGAAACTTTAACCTAATTTTTCCGGAAAATTTTTAAATCAAAGAGCCTTAAAGACAATAGACACAGTAAAACCTTTTTTAAAACCTTTCTGGTGCATAATTGAATACAACTAGGTACAAAAATTCTTCAACAAAAAGTTCAACTTTTTAAGCCTACAGCCTTTCATTTTGATGAGAAACGTTTACCTAAATTTTTTCCGGGAAATATTTACATCAGAAAGCTTTTAAGACAATTAACACAGTAAAACCGTTTCTTGAACTTTTCTGATACTCAATTGAGTAAATTTAGGTTAAAAAATTATCCAACATAAAGTTCAATTTTTTAAGCCTATTGCCTTACATTTTGATGAAAAACTTTTACATAAATTTTTCCGGAAAATATTTAAATCAGAAAGCTTTAAAAACAATTAACACAGTAAAACCGTTTCTTGAACTTTTCTGATACATAATTGAGTAAATTTAGGTTAAAAAATTATCCAACAAAAAGCTCAATTTTATTAAGCCTATAGCCTTACATTTTGATGAGAAATTTAAACACAAATTTTTCCCAATAAAAATTTAAATCAGAAAGCTTTAAAGACAATTAACACAGTAAAACCGTTTCTTGAACTTTTCTGATACATAATTGAGTAAATTTAGGTTAAAAAATTATCCAACAAAAAGCTCAATTTTATTAAGCCTATAGCCTTACATTTTGATGAGAAATTTAAACACAATTTTTTTCCAATAAAAATTTAAATCAGAAAGCTTTAAAGACAATTAACACAGTAAAACCGTTTTTTGAACTTTTTTAATACATAATTGAGTAATTTTAGGTTAAAAAATGATCACACAAAAAGCTCAATTTTATTAAGCCTATAGCCTTACATTTTGACGAGAAATTTAAACACAAATCTTTTCAAATATAAATTTAAATTAGAAAGCTTTCAAGAGAATTAACACAGTAAAACCGTTTTTTGAACTTTTCTGATACTCAATTGAGTAAATTTAGGTTAAAAAATTATCCAACAAAAAGCTCATTATTTTATTAACTACTTGCTTACTA